ATGAGGTCCAAGCAAAACATCATGACACAATCTACTGCAAAATAAGAATACACTACTTTAGAAGTTGAATTCAAATATGATTGGATGAATGGGATCATTGAAAAACTATGTTGATTTTTTCCATTCAAGGATCACATAGAAATCTTTGTGACTTCGAGAGTATACTTAATCAAGCTAAGAGACTCTATCTTTCGAAAGAACACCGATCAAATTATCCAAGATATTTAACTATACTTAGAGTATAGTTAAGTATGGAGATGATAGTATTCACAAAATTCAAACAAATTAAATTTTGACAGATCCATTGATAAAGTCATTCTTTTGAGCTAAGTATGATTGGTCACACTTCAGCTATAAGACTTTATTATTCTAGAAATGGGTTTTTGATTTGGATTTGGTATTTGGATATTGGAACATTATAACAACAACTACTAGATAATGTTATGATATATTGGAATATATGTTGGATTTGGTGTCTAAGCCCATAACTATAACTAGTATGTACTTGACCCGATTGTAGCATGGTCCTTTTGGGTTGCCTTCACCAGTGCAATTTGATAGGATGGATTTTGAGAATAAGGTTATTTATGGTTTATCAATATATTACAAGTATAATATATTAATACAAAATTATTTAATTAGTATTGATCAAGAATTAATTTGGAATTAATTTTATGGTCAAAAGAGACTAATTAAATATATGGGGATTGATTATGTAAATCAATAATTCTTGTAGTGTGGGCTAATGATCCATGATTGTGTGCTAAACCAATAAGTTAATCCATGGATAGTCCATGGAGGTTAAACCCATGGACCATAACAATGTGGAAAGTCATGGAGCATTAGGGTTTACAAAGTGTAACCCTAGCCTGTGCAACACTATAAATAGAACCCTCTATGAGCCAAAATCGTTTGCACCTTCTCTTTAAGATGAGTAGCTTATTCTCTTAAGTCATCCTTTTGCATATTGGTGTTTGTGAACCATTAGAGGCATCACACTTGAGGTGCTCAAGCTTTCAAAGGTCAAGAACTACAAGTCCTTCTAAAAGGTATGCCATCTATCTAGATGTATTATTCATTTGGCAATATTTATGCTAGTTAGTACAATGATTTGGAAAAATTGAAAATATGCATGTATAATAGAGAAAACATAGATCCAAAGCATTTAGGGTTGTATGTGCACCATAGGAGTGTTATAGTGCTCAAAACCCAACAATATATTCATCACATTAATACTTGTTGTGTTCTATATTAACATGGTTAATCCATGAATAATGTTATTATTCTAAAGGTTCATAGTCGGTTATAATTATGGGAGAAATTATAAAGTAAGAATAATATGAATTGGATTGGTTGACTCTCACTAGATGAAAGTAGGCATGTGGTTGTAACCAAGTTTCATAGGTATTTGTCGGAGAACTAGTATCGAACTGGCCCGCATCAAGATCATCTCATGGATCACTATCATGAATGATACTTGAATAAAAGGTACTATCTTTGTATCCTTAACACCTGAGATATATATTGGGACTTAAGTGTAGGGAGTACTATGCTTTGATATGGTCAAATGTTGTTCCTTAACCGGGCAGTTATAAAAGCCATTTTCAGGTATGGTGTGAACTATACAAGTGGCTTTTGTAGTCAAGATGGGATTTGTTCCTCTTATGTGTTGAGAGTTAGACATCTAAGGCGCCTTACCAAAAGTTGAACGACTAATGAGATTGATCGCGATCCGTATCTCATGTTCAACATGATGTCTGTAGAAAAGGGGTTAACTGATAAACTTACCTTATACACCAATTGTAGCTTTGAGCTTTTTGGGTATTGGGCGTTGATAAAATGGCACAAAGTCGTATGTTGTTGGGGGCAGTGAAATGTGCTAGACGTTCACCACTGTCTATATCAGTCTAATATAAGTCTTGTGCAAGTGGGAGATTGAAAGGTCTAGTATGCTCAAGAATCATATTAAAGTGATATTGATAATTAACATTCGATACCAATGGGTCACATTAACAACAACTTGATATAATTGGGTATTTATTAGAAATTGATTTTAATAAATATTCAATAAAACTCTTATAATTAAATTGGAAATTATTTATTTTATGGAAATAATAATTTTCATTAGCAAGTAACATTACATAATTCATATGGTATGAATTAATAAGTCATGTACAATATTGTGGACTAGGTAAGCCTTTTGTCTTTTAGTAAAAGACAAAGTTTATATCTTATAAACTTTGAGTTTATAAAATATAAACTAAACTTTTCTCTTTTTAAGGAGCATGTCCGGTTTTAGAAGAGAAAGAGTAGAGTTATGGATTTCCAAATTGTTTAATCAAAAGTAATAAAGCATGGTGCATGCATGGGGACAAGGTTGTCTAAAGGTCTTAATTATTAAAGACCTTTAGATCAAGTGTGTGCTTTAAATAGTTAAAGTCTTGCATTCTTTTGGTTGTTCCTTGCTTGCAATTATCGAGAGCACCTTAGGGCTCTCTTTATCTCTTCTTTGCTTTGAAGATTGAAGAACTATCACTTGCATTTTGCTCTCTTTGAACCATACTTGGGTTTGGTTCAAAGCTTAAGAGTTTTATACAAAGAACTAGCATTCTACATCAAGTTGAGTCATTGTTGGTGTCTCAAAGGTTCCACATTCTTCATCAACTTCCAAGCCTCCCAAGAGGACCCATAGAACAACAAAGGTTGTTATTTCTTCATCATTTCTTTGGTTAGTGTTTAAATCTTTCTATAACTTGCAAGGAGATCCTTGGTGGGTATAAAATGTTATGTTATGTTCAAAATTTTAAGTCTTCCGTTGCCATATTTTTCTAGTTTAAGAAACTATTTTTGAACTAAAACCCAATATATATATATATATATATATATATATATATATATATATATATATATATATATATATATATATATATATATATATATATGTGTGTGTGTGTGTGTGTGTGTGTGTGTGTGTGTGTGTGTGTGTGTGTGCGCGCGTGGGTGGGTGGTGTGTGTGGTGTAATCTATTATTCATCAATACTTTATGATTTATAGAAATTAAAAGTGAGAGACTTATTTTGTAATAAGTCAAAGGTTTAACTTACGATGATACATATTAAGATAAATAATTTAATTGGATAATTACCTAATTTAAACTTCACATATTAGGGTTTATGCACGTATAAAAGGAATTCAATTGTTTAAGAGAAATAACCCTATCTCATCTTCTTTTTCTTCCTCCCTTCGTTATCTTGTTATGGAAAATAAATGCAAGCGGGTTTACGACTTTATTAAGTTCTTGCTATGATTGCTGTTTTGGGGTGCGACTATGATAAATGGATTCTACATGGGATCCTCATGTGTTTTATTCTTGATCATTAAAAAAAGTAAACACATAAACCTTCTTGTAGTTTAGTTTTTGTTGCTTGAATTCCATGAATGCGGATCTATTGGATGCATCATGATGGTTGTTTGTATTGATTTTGTTCCTCTTTGATTATTGTTATGAAAGTCATCATGATCCAATAAGCCATATAGGTTAATCCCAAGTTGTGTATCCTGAAATCAAAGAGTTTACTTTTGAAGAGATTTACCTTTAAGCTAGAGGCAAGGTGAAAACATCTAAGAATATTTCCTATCCATTTTTCCATTTACCACTAAAATTCATTTGAAATAGAACAGAGTCACTGAAATCCTACAATAATGAAGCATAAGGTTTATTGAGCTCTGCTTTTAACATCATTATTTTCTTGGCTTTTTTCGTCCATAAGCAAATTTCATTTATATCAAACAGTTCATCTAGAATACTGAGCCCTTCTACATATGGCGATTGTTCACAACTCACAACGAAAGAGATAACTTTTTTTAAATCGAAGTGGAAGGAGTTTAGAATGTAGAAGCAACCAATCAAACTTATGGGACGAAAATCTAAGAGGGCCAAGGGATCCCAAATTTTAGGTATAAGTTAAATGAAAGAAGCATTACACCCATGTGAAATATTTCCTGTTATTCAAAAAAATTAAAACTTCCGCAAACTAAAAAAATTAGAACTTCCACAAACTTGAAATGCACTAAGAGGATGTTTGAATAAGCTTAAAAAAGAAACTTTTTAACTTATTACCGATTCCACACCGGTATAAGTTAAAATGAGTGTTTGGATAGACGGTTTTTTAAAAACGACTTATAGCGTTGTGGAACCGAAGAGAAACCATTTTTGATAAGTTACTAACCCCTAACTTATCAAAACTCTTTATAGCTTATAGTTGCCCCCACATATTTAGGATACCTCTTTTTTTGTCATTTTGTCTAACACTAAAAATATTTATCAACTTATAGCGTTTTGACACCATATAAGTTAATCCAAACATTTTTTTAAGAACTTCGTTTTGATACCACTGTAAGCTAATTAGCTAATAAGTTAAAAAAAATACTTATCATTTCCGTTGGAATGAATTCGGCTTCAAGAAACATGCAATTGGTTTCACTTTTTTCTTTTTTTTGAAACAGTGCTATAGAGCTTCGACCTAAATTCAACATCCTCTTTTAATTTTAACAAAGATTCAGGTTCAGTCTCCCACTCACCATTAATGGATAGCCCATTGTTCCATTAATTACAGTTCCTTTTTTTTGTTGCCGTTTATTTGGTTAAATTTTATGATTCCATGAAAGAATAATGAGTTTTCCTCTGGATGTGACCTCACATCCTCATTATTTTAATCTTGCCTTTTGCCTTAAATCCGACTTCCGGGGATGTTCAAACTCCCAGGAAATCCATTTTTGAGCGTTAATTTCTTAGATATCTGCAGACAATATTTATCCGGACAATAGTTGATTAACGAAAAAAAAACAAAATCTTCAATTAATGAAAAGAAAAACAGGAGCTAAACCAGTCAGAAAGTAAACATATTGAAATTGTTTACATTAGCACACAGTTAGAAGCTTCAAAATCCAGTTGTTGGACATGGTGTTCTGTTTTACAACAGTTTCATTTTTACACCACAAATAGTTTAAAAAAAAAAAAAAAGGTAGTCAAGTAGCTAAGTGGTTGGGACAACTATCAAACATGGTGTGCCACATAAAGGCTCTAGAAAGCACCATCTCCAGCTCTTGGTGATTCCAATTGTGCGTTGGCAAATGTTGAAGGAACATCACCATCTCCTGGAAATCAAGCTTTAAAAGCTTATCTGACCACTGCATTATACCAAAAAAAAAAAAAAAAAAAAAAAAATCAAACCATTTTATTTGCAAACGAGGTTGAAAACGTAATCAATTTATTGCAAAAGGGTGGGTTATTATAATTAGGCATATAGGTGGGCCATCGCCAACAAGGAAAGCCCAATCCACATTGGAATTAAAGCTGAAACTCGAACCCTTCACCATCACTCGCACTCGTTAGGGGTAAGGGTAGGGGTAGAAAAGTAATTTGAATGCACACCCACCCCCATGAACATCACATCTTACCCTTAAAAGAAAACTGGCAAATATATACACAATGAAATCCGGTAAAGCGTCGCCTTCAGCAAGATACGTGTCCCATAAACGTGTAACAAGATGGAAGGGAATCTATAATAAATAAACATATAAAATTTAGTTGGTGGGGTTTTGCATAAAAAACAAAATTTTAATAGCAAAGCAGATCATACCTCTCGTATTAGAAGACAGTTAAACCACCGGAAAGCAAACTGAAGAAACTCAAGCCCTTGCTTATCTATGTGCCTTGCAACCGGTTCTAAAATTGTGGACTCAAAATTAACAATTCATATACATTTTTTATATTTGTAAATAACTCATCTAGAACTGTGATAAAATAGGCATAGAAAAGGACAATGTCACCAGTTGGTAATCAAGTTTCACATTTGTTCCACCTCAAAATTTTTTCCAAGAGGTTTAACCACTCAACTTTTAGTTATGTTCCTTTGTTGTGAAATTCTGAATTTCTTGTAGAATTTTGTATTTTTTTTTAACAGGAACTAATGCTGACATATGATGTGGCTGGTCTATAGAATTGATTTTTCAATTTTTTTCCAATGGTGTTACATTAAAGGGTCAATGTCACTAACGAGAGTTTCACAATTGTTCAGTTGTTGTGAAATTTTGTTACTGTGGTTAAACTTAAACCTCTTAGAAATTAGTATGGAATGTTGGTTGTTTCTATAAACATACCAGTACCAGGTCAACACAAAATACAAAATTTCATAGCAATGAAAAAAAAAAAAAACACAAATTTTAAAGCAAAAAAAGGAACGAAAGTGGTTATAGTACAAAAATAGGGTTAATGGAAGAGGAAGGGCAATACCGTCAATTCGCCTGACAAGCTCCTTGAGCTTAAAGACTAGCCTTTGGATCCCAGGCTGAGCGAATGTATAATGGTCTTGCATACCATCAAGCAACTTGGATAAACACCAATAACAATCGGCTTCAACATTCGAGATCTTTTCAGGATCTAAATCAGCAATTGACCAGCTTTCAACACTCCCTTCCAAGTGTTCTGACAAGAAGACAACTAAAAAAGGTGTTGCAAGGTCGTTTATTCCCTGCACATATCCACTTGCTGGATGCCTGATCGCCCTGTAACCAATTTTTTTTTTTTTTTCAAATTTCAAGCACCAATCTCACAAATTTATTTCTTTCGACAAGGTCAAATAAGTAAATCTAACCATGTGTAGAGTATACACTCCAAAGATTTCTGCACTTCTGCTTGTTGGAAGAATGTGACGTCAGGCATAGTTCTAGGACAATCAACAGCAATCTGATAAAAAAACACACATCAGATTGGTCACAAAATGCAATAATATTTTTTAGTCTTTAGTGAGTGTGTGTGTGTGTGTATGTGTTTACCTGGCGCAACATATTAATCTCTTCATCAGTACGTTCGTTATCTGAAACGTCATAATACTGAGCAACACAGTCAAAATATTCGATGCGCTTTCTTCTTAGGACTCCCTCCCTTCGATCTGAATTAGGGGGTGCATATCCCTGTTGTCAGTTTATATTTAATATTTAAACTTAACACAACCAACAAAACAACATTAACTTACAACATAATTTAACTATCTATTCTATTCTATGTAACACAATACAAAATATTAACTACCATCACAATGCCATTGCCAACAAAGATAGAGAGACTAATGCCCCTTTGTTACTTACAAATTACAATTTACAAAAGACAAGGACAAAAAAATCATGATTACCAAGAGAAGCCTCCATACATTAGGGCGAAGATAAGATGGCACACCACTCCAAGCTAACTCTCGCAACTTGTCTGCAAACAATGTTCCAAAATAAAATCCAATCGACTGAAAAACTTACAATATAAATGAGTACAGGTAATAGTTTCATCGATATGTTATTATAGCCATAAGCATAGCATACTGATTTTGTTTCTTCTTATTACAACATTATACTTTAATTTTATTTTTTTAAATATAGCAATGTAATGTCCTGCAAAAACAAAGTATTTTCACCTCTAGAAAGAAGTGAAAGGAGGAACTTACCTAAAATGACAGTTGTGCCCCCTAAAACTTTGGTGAATTTCATTATCCTAGCAGTATCTGTAGCTCGGGCACCCATCACAAATCTTGGAGCCTCCTTTGCCATATCCTCAGAATTTGATATTGACAATGATGGGTTTGACTTGTTATCAGTTGTACTGGTATTTGGTTTATCTCTATGAATGTCATCCTACAAAAAAGTTGAGGAGTGCGATTAATGAAGAGGTATTTCTTGGCAGATGAAGATGAAATGGGTTGGGTTGGGTTGGGTTGGGTTGGGTTGGTACCTCGTTATCATCCATGTGTATGTGTTTGCTTGGTGGGCTATTGATTTCCGAGGGGCTCCTGCTACCACCAGGAGAACCCAAAATATTACCATCCACCGGATCCGATCTTCTTGTTATCAACACTTTACCAGGAAAGCTGCGACCCTTTAGTAGCCTATATATTATATTATAGTATATACATACATACGTATATACGACAAATCACTGAATCAGATAACATGGTATCAAATATGAAGGGTTGTTAACTGAACTACAAAAAGTAGCAACGTACTTCCATTGATTTGTTTACTATTGTATCATACTCTCATTTAGTCCTATTACAACATTGTACTTTGAAATATCTACCATCCAAATACAAAACAGTTTTCATTGCTATAGTGTGGTAATTATGGTTTAGGAAGAAAACAACTGAAAGTACAAGAAGATGAGATATTGGGTTTATATGTCTAAGTGTCCCTTCCTCCTTCAAGCTGGCTTTTACGAATGAGTTCTACACTTAGGTTCATATCATATTGTTAGATTTTTCCATAGTACAATGTCTTATTTAAGAAAAAAATTGAAATTACTATGTTGGAATATCAAGAAATGAAAAGTAGGATGGTGTAGCACACAAATAAATGAAACTGCGTTGCCTTTTCTTGCATTTGGACCAATTATAAATTAATGAAAGTTCTTCCTAAAGCAAGTTAGCATGTTTCTAATTTTTGTCCTATTGACATCAGGCTCGGTGCTAATTTAATTGAATGCACACCAAACACTATACATCATGTCCTGTCCTATGAAACATAGGGGGCTTAATGAACTCAAATTACGTCACTAACAAAAAATAGCATTCATTCATCTCCATAAGAAGTACCATTTTTACAAACACCCCTATGCCATTATTTGTGATGATGATGATGATGATGATGATGATGATGATGATGATGCAAAGATCAATAGACTCAACTTCTAGTAATCATTCATGGGGTTTTGACTTCTTCCTAATCCTTGATATTCAAGTGTATGGTTTCAGATGGCATACCCTCCACCATATATATCGCCCCCATCTTTATCTTTATCGAAAACCAAATAGAGATAACCCCCAGATTATGCACATCCGACCTATAATTACAGGGTTCAAAGTTCAAATTAAAGGACTAATGGTCTTGTCTTTTTATATCCTGAGTATCTTAGTTATGCATTAATGTTTTTTGCTGTAGCAAGCACCCATAGCAAACTATTTATAAAAATCAAATTACAAGCGTTGGAACAATATCCAATCAATCGTTTACCCACCAATGTATATATAATCACAAGGAAACAAAAGGTGGGTTGTGTTTTTATTTGCGAAAGCAAATGCCAACTAAAGAACATAATACAAAAGTTTGCCACATTGTATGAGCACGACATAAACAACCTCAAGTAACACATCAACATCGACGTTTAAACCTGCAGATCCAAAATTACTGATTTCTCACCGATCACAAATCAATAGTTAATCAATTCGATTATATACAAGACAAACCCATGTGTGTATCCTATAAGATCAGCTAAATAGAAATTTAAATGAGGAAATTTACGAATTTCGAATCTGGGTATACAATTAGAAACATAAAATAACATACCCTTGAACATTTCTCAGAGTTTGATTAAATCTTGAATCAAGGGTTGTGGTATGAGAATTATTTGGAGACGACTCTTGCTTCAGGTTTTCTTCTTCTTTGTTGTGACTGTTGTTGCTCTTCATCGTTCCTTGGCTACAACCATGGTGGTTGTTCGTCTGTTACTCGTGATTTTTGAAACCCAAAGGTACAAAAATTCAATTTCAACATGGTCTCAATAAATTTATAGTTTTCTACCCTCAGTGTAATTTGTGTTGTAAACTCTACCCCTATGTACATCGCTTGGCTACTTTATCTTAAAAAAGAGAACAAATTTTATTTCTACGACTATACATCTTTATCCTATATAACTATATAACTTAAGAATATTTTTATTCCGTCGTAGAAAGCTCTGCAATTTAATGCCACATGGCATGTCTAATTCATTGTTATTTGCGAAAAAAATAGTTTGTGGGGCTGGGTTTACGTTTTTTGTTTGTCCGTTTGTTGGTAGTATTTGATTTTCCGGTTTCCATTATAAGTGGTTTTTCTTGGGTGTATAAATGAGGTATGTTGGACAATCTTCTCAACAAATGATATGTTTATACTCATTTACCTAAATAATGTATTGGACTATTGGTTGTTGAGTTTTTTTTTATTGATTTGTTATTTTTTTTAATCATTAGTCGTTGATTTATTCGTTTTTGTTTGTATGAAACAAAAAAGCAAACTAAAGAACATAATACAAAAGTTTGCCACATTATATGAGCACAGCATAAACAACCTCGAATAACACATCATCGACGTTTAAACCTACCTATCCAAAAATATTGGTTTCTCACATATCACAAATCGATAGTTAATCAATTCGATCAAATACAAGACAAACCCATATGGGTATCCCTATAAGATCAGCTAAAAAGCAATTTAAATGAGGAAATATACGAATTTCGAATATGTATACGATCAGATACATAAAAGAACATACCCTTGAACATTTATGAGAGTTTGATTAAATTTTGAATAAATGGTTATGGTATGAGAATTAGTTGGAGACGTCTCTTGTTTCAAATCTTCTTCTTTTTTGTGACTGTTGTTGCTCTTTATCGTTCATTGGCTACAACCATGATGGTTGTTCGTCTCTTACTCGGGCTTTTTAAGACCCAAAGGTACAAACATGGTCTCAACAAATTTACAATTTCGACCATTATGTTTGTAATTGGTGTTATAAACTCTCCTAGCGCTTCCACCCCCACCCCCTCTTATGTACATCGATTGGCTATATATCTTAAAAAAATAACAAATTTTATTTCATCCCTCTTAATCATAATTTTATTTAAGTCCTTTACGACTATACATCTTTATCCTATCTCACTAAAGAATATTTTTATTCAAATGTCAAAAGCTCCGGAATTGAATACCACATCGCATGTCTAATTCCTTGCTATTTGCGAAAAAATATTTTGTGGTAAGGATCGTTTTCTGACGTGTCGTTCGATTGGAAATACTTTTTCTTTGGGATGGGTTTACGTTTTTTGTTTTTCCATTTATTGGTAGTATTTGATTTTGTAGTATCCATTAAAACTGGTTTTTCTTGGGTGTATAAATGAGGTATGTTGGACAAACTTTCTCAACAAATGATATGTTTATGCTCATTTACATAGATTATGTATTGGACTATTGGTTGTGGAGTTTTTTTTTTGGTTTGTTATTTTGTTTATCATTGGTTGTTGATTAATTCTTTTTTGTTTGTATGAAACAAAAAGCAAACTAAAGAACATAATACAAAAGTTTACCACATTATATGGGCGCGACATAAACAACCTCGAGTAACACATTAGCATCGACGTTTAAACCTGCAGATCCAAAATTACTGGTTTCTCATCGATCACAAATCGGTAGTTAATCAATTCTATCAAATACAAGACAAATCCATGTGGGTATCCTATAACAACTAAAAATCAATTTAAATGAGGGAATTTACGAACTTCGAATCTAGGTATATGATTAGATACATAAAAGAACATACCTTTGAACATTTCTGATAATTTGATTAAATCTTGAATTAAGGGTTTTGGTATGAGAACTAGTTGGAGACGTCTCTTGCTTTAGATCTTCTTCTTCTTTTGTTGTGACTGTTGTTGCTCTTCATCGTTCGTTGGCTACAACCATGGTGGTTGTTCGTCTCGTACTCGGGCTTTTTGAGACCCAAAGGTATAAAAATTCATGTTCATCATGGTCTCAATACATTTACAGTTTTCTACCCTCATGTTTGTAATTCATGTTCATCATGGTCTCAATAAAATCCTTTTGGAAAGTATGAATGGGTGGCTTGAAGGATTAAGAGCTTAACCCATTAAGTTGTAAGAACTCAGCTTTCACGACGTGGTAGTCTGCTTGCCACTACGTGACGACTAGTGTCACCGCGACTATTGTCTCGTGAAGCTACTACAATGTGACCAATGGGTGGCCACGACATGGGTGTCGTCTGGGGGTTAACTTCGACCATTGAGTTTTGACTAGTTTGACTTTTGGTCAAACTTTAAGGGGTGTTAAGCTATAGTATGAAGTTTAGCTTGTGTTTGGTTTAAGAGATTTGTGTATCTGATTTTCTGGGACTTTGAGTAGTGGATTTCAACAAGTCGTTCATGTGAGTCTTCTTATTGTATTACTTATGCCATAGTTTGTGCAGGCTGACCAACTGGGTCTTATTTGTTGATTGATGTTATGTGTTACTAAGATGCTTATAGCTCCAGGGCGTGTTGTTAGCCCATTGGGATTGTTGATAGTCCCTAGGGTTGTTGATAACCCTTAGGGCGTGCTATTAGCCGACATGGCTGCTGATAACCTATAGGGTTTGCTATTAAGCCCCAGGGCATGTTGTTAGTCCACGGGGCATGCTGTTAGCCAACCGGGCATACTGTTAGTCCATTAGGACTACTGATAGCCCCCATGGTTGCTGATAACCCATAGGTGTTTATTATGTTGTGATGTATGTGATATTATGGGGAAATCACTAAGCATTGTGCTTACAGTTGTAGAATAAATGTTTTTCAGGTACTTATCGGATTGCAAAAGCAGGACTGTACACACATCAACACTTTTATGATTCGAGATTCTGTATTGTTTTCCTATAACTCTAATTTTGAATTATGGTTTATAAACAATGGGTTTAACTTGAATGTAACTTTAATAAAATGGGTGTTTATTCTATTTTAAAAATGAAAATTTTATATTGGAATTTGGGAAATTACAAGTTGGTATCGGAGCCCTGGTTTGAGGGATTTAGATGAACACTCGTGGGATTCCAAACTCAAACTATGGATCTGAGAGTTTTATAAACCTTTTTGGAAAAAGATTCATTTAAAGAGAAGAAATGATAAGATGCGATGTGTACAGTCAGCCAGAGCTCGAGAAAGTGATCTCCCAAAATATCCATACTTTCTTTATATGTTGTATTTGAGTTAATGTTATATGTTTTATAGTATGATATGCATGTTATAAGTTAGGCTAAGGATATATTCAAGGTTGCATGCTAGAGTGCCTACTTAGGGGAGATGTCTTTATGTGTGTGCTACGTGAGTTGTTAGAGATGCATGATAGTGTGTATGCTAAGGATCTTAAAGAATTGCTTGTTAGGATTGCCTGATCTTTATTATGTTGCTTGCTTTGCGCTACGTGAAACCAATATTAATGTTAATTAACTATTAAATGAATACATTAAGTTGCGTGCCACGAAGATTAAATTGTTTTAGAATGTTTTATTTGGCCCTATTGCGCAACTCTTGTTTAAGTCCAACCATTGTAGTGCAGGATCTTTCAGTCGAATGAATGTTTAATCCTTGTTGCATGTAATTGTATTCATAAGACAATTAAATGACATTGGTATAAGTTTCTCCCGCAACTAATAGCATCATGGGGTGGAAATCTTAGTGGTCTAGGAAGAGTGCTAGAATGTGCTAGTGTAGTCACTTACATATGAGGAAAACTAAGGTGTGAATCTGGGATGTTTTTGGTGGCTTTTCTAAGCACATTGGTGTACTGGTACACCTAGTAGTGGTGGAGTTCCTAGTGACCTAACAGAAGTGTTAAGGTGTTCTAGTGTGTGCAAACGTGTGAGAAGAATCCTATAGGAAGAGTCTAGGGAGATCAATACTGTGTGCCTATGGGAGCATGGGTATCTGTGGTTGGTAATGGATGTGTGTAGTGACTTAGCAACTTTGAGTCAATTATTAGGACACGTACGGATAGGTGTGGAACGTAGTATGTGTTGGATTAAGTGTCTAAGCCCATAACTCTTTTGGTATGTACTTGACCCGATTATGAGCATGGTCCTTTTGGATTGTCTTCACCATAGCAACTGATAGGATGAATTAAGGAGAAAGAGGATTGATTGTGATTTATTAATGTATTATGTGAATAATATATTAAAAGAGAAATCATATTATTTAATTAATATTAGTCAAGAATTAGTTAAGAATTAATTTTGTGGCTAAAAGAGATTAATGAAATAAAGGGGACTGATATTGCAATTATATGATAGTTGCAAATTGGGCTATGGATTCCTAATGGAAAGGGCATTGGACGAAATCTATGGGAAGCCCATATGATTTTCGTCCAAGGGCTTTCTAGAAGGACTCCATGGGTTGCTTAAGGCCTAAGTAGAGAATTAGGGTTTCACCTGAAACCCTAGCAGCCCACACAAGTATATAAAGACCCCTAGGGCTCCCAAAAACGTGGCTAAGCATTCCTTGGAGTATCTTGGACGTTTCTGGTGCCTCCTCCTCCCTCTCCTAAGTCATCTTGTTGCTAGTGGTGTTTGTGACTCCATTAGAGGTGCAACATTTGAGGCACTAAGCTTTCAGAAGTCAAGATCAAGAAGGATTGTGATTGCTATTGCTACATAACAATCAAGGTAAAGTTTCTGACCCTAATCTTATGTCAATTTCGATAATAGCATGTTAGATCTAAGGTTTATGCTTTGGTATTCAATGTTGTTGTGTTCATAGTAGAAAACCTAGATCAAAGCAATTAGGGTTGCATGTACACCATAGGAATGATGTAATGCTCATAACCTATTAGTGGTATCAGAGACTAGGTCGTTTTCTAGTGAATAGATTCAAAAGTGAACCACCAAAGATCTTGAAAATCGAATTTTTAGGTTTCTGACTGGCAGACTCGCCGAGTCCATGAATGGACTCGACAAGTAGCTCCTACTCGACGAGTTCCATTGTGGACTCGACGAGTCCAAGGGTCTGGTACCGGAAATTCCGATTTTCTAG